GACCAGTCAAGGGTTCGGACCAGTCAAGGGTCGACCAGTCTATCTGACTGATCAGTGGTCACTTATTTAAACCAACTGGTCGGTGATTTGAGCTAACACATGAAGGATCTACTGGAAATTATCTACCCGAGTAATATGTGATTTGATTGATACAAAAGTATAACTTGCGTGTTGAAGAGCCGGTGACTGCTGGCAACTCCTACAGTGACGAACAGTCGACCTCAACCCTTGTTTATCAATCGCTGTATCTAGCTTTTCTATTTTTTTTTTTTCCATCTCCACCACAATAAATGCTATATTATCACTATAGTTGACTGGTGCAAATTTTGGAGGAAGGACGCTTTTTCTGGAGTAATAATTGCTTCTCGTTTTGTATATTGCGACCGCTGGTAACTACAGGTTATATGAAATTCACAGTATATGTCTGGTATTTCAAGAAAAAAGAAACTAATGAAAGTCACTCCACTCCACTAAGTACCATTATAATACTGGTTAGTTGCTACTACAACACTGTATTCTGCTATTCACTGGTATCACTAGATTATATGCGAGTACACTAGTAGGCCAGGAAGATTATTAAAAACAGCTGACCTGTGGTAAGTTTCTGGCGACTTCTGGCACCTGCCTCTGTAGGCTTATCACTTCATTTACAAATTCACCTGTTTTCAAATGACACTTTAGCCTTTATCATCAATATACTAGGGAGCCACTGTAGTATACACTATACACTATGTATACTCAATGTTTTCAGGGAGACTTTCTTTCCTCTGACACAAAGTTCAATTATTATTATTTTTTCACACGGGACACAGGCCTATGATTCCCCTCTGGCAGTAAACTCTGCTAGGTAGTGCACACTAATTCTCCTTTTTTGACTCGGTATATAATGTTTTCCGCCCAAGATTGGTTCCAGGCGCTAGAGGGATGTATCGTATAGGATTGATGACACAAATTAAAGTTCTAGCACGTAAGAGCCACCGTGAAAACACCAGAAAACCTGGAGCACAACGAGGCACGCTGACACTGTCACGCTACCCACATGTGAAAAAAAAAAAAAAAAAAAGGATTTTTTTTTATACTGTGCACACTAACCACATAGACCCATTCTTTCGTATGTAGGCCTACCAGCTTTCTCTCACTAGATTTGAGGGCGCTAGAATTTAGGCGTACTAGTACGTCAAAAACCCTTGTGCGTAAGCCTTACTAGTATGGCTGAAACCCTGGAAGGGTTAAGCATCCCAGAACAATAAAATGCATATACAGTTCACTCATTACTTACCTTAAAATATTTGTAGACTTAATGTAGGGTCAGAGGTGAATAAACAAAATAAAACGAATAAATGAGAGAGAGAGAGAGAGAGAGAGAGAGAGAGAGAGAGAGAGAGAGAATGAGTACATGAAAGAGGACACTCACGGAGTTATGTAAACAAACAGGCATATGCGAGTTTTGTAAATAAACCAGGTGAACACGTCTGGTTTGTATACAAGTTACATTGAATACAAGCTGTCTCTACGTTGATACGGAAGAATAAATAAAGAGGAACACTCCCATTCTCATGTAACACCATTTTTAGAAGAAATGACGCTCTGAGTGAAGGCATACAAATGGAATAATTTTCTAGAGTCATGCCCAGTAACACATTTTCTCTTATGTTGGACTAGAGAAAATGTTATTCTTGCCATCACTCGTACAAGCTGTCTGGCTACCGCATTTCATATTTTTTTTTTTTTTCAACAAGTCGGCTGTCTCCCACCGAGGCAGGGTGACCCAAAAAAGAAAGAAAATCCCCAAAAAGAAAATACTTTCATCATCATTCAACACTTTCACCACACTCACACATTATCACTGTTTTTGCAGAGGTGCTCAGAATACAACAGTTTAGAAGCATATACGTATAAAGATACACAACATATCCCTCCAAACTGCCAATATCCCAAAACCCCTCCTTTAAAGTGCAGGCATTGTACTTCCCATTTCCAGGACTCAAGTCTGACTATATGAAAATAACCGGTTTCCCTGAATCCCTTTCACTAAATATTACCCTGCTCACACTCCAACAGATCGTCAGGTCCCAAGTATCATTCGTCTCCATTCACTCCTATCTAACACGCTCATGCACGCTTCCTGGAAGTCCAAGCTCCTGGCCCACAAAACCTCCTTTACGCCCTCTTTCCAACCCTTTCGAGGACAACCCCTACCCCTCCTTCCTTCCCCTATGGATTTATATGCTTTCCATGTCATTCTACTTTGATCCATTCTCTCTAAAAGACCAAACCACCTCAACAACCCTCTTCTGCCCTCTGACTAATGCTTTTATTAACTCCACACCTTCTCCTAATTTCCACACTCCGAATTTTCTGCATAATATTTACACCACACATTGCCCTTAGACAGGACATCTCCACTGCCTCCAACCGTCTCCTCGCTGCTGCATTTACCACCCAAGCTTCACATCCATATAAGAGTGTTGGTACTACTATACTTTCATACATTCCCTTCTTTGCCTCCATAGATAACGTTTTTTGACTCCACATATACCTCAACGCACCACTCACCTTTTTTCCCTCATGAATTCTATGATTAACCTCATCTTTCATAAATCCATCCGCCGACACGTCAACTCCCAAGTATCTGAAAACATTCACATCTTTCATACTCCTCCTCCCCAATTTGATATCCAATTTTTCTTTATCTAAATCATTTGATACCCTCATCACCTTACTCTTTTCTATGTTCACTTTCAACTTTCTACCTTTACATACATTCTCAAACTCATCCACTAACCTTTGCAATTTTTCTTTAGAATCTCCCATAAGCACAGTATCATCAGCAAAAAGTAACTGTGTCAATTTCCCCTTTTGAATTTGATTCCCCATAATTTTTAACCCCCCCCCTCTCCCGAACACCCTAGCATTTACTTCTTTTCAACCCCATCTATAAATATATTAAACAACCATGGTGACATTACACATCCCTGTCTAAGACCTACTTTTACCGGGAAGTATTCTCCCTCTCTTCTACACACCCTAACCTGAGCCTCACTATCCTCATAAAAACTCTTAACAGCATTTAGTAACTTACCACCTATTCCATATACTTGCAACATCTGCCACATTGCTCCTCTATCCACTCTATCATATGCCTTTTCTAAATCCATAAATGCAATAAAAACTTCCCTACCTTTATCTAAATACTGTTCACATATATGTTTATTTATTCTACTGTGGGGTGTATTTATCATCTTTATATGTTATGTATCATGTTTATTATATAATTTTGAAAAAATATTATAGATGGATTAATGAAAATGCGTATATTAATGCAATATACGACATTTAATGAGGCTCGGTGATTATTATTGAGTATTATTATTATTATCATTACTAATATGGCATCTCGAGACACGAGACACTTACTGACTTCAATGTGTACATGCACACCAGCACAGTGTATAAGTTTATTTAGGTACAGGTATACATAAGTATAATTATCAGAGTATATATAAAACATGAAACAACTTTTAAAAACACTTGAAATTTTGGCGTTTCCAAACATAATGGAGAGACTTAGTGCTTACAGAGCTCACGGAGAATGTAAACAAACCGGGTGGGGCTCGGTGACCGTATCAGAAATCAGGTGGGGGAGCCATATAGAGTTTTGGTCATAATTTGAAATGACCGTAACAGCGGAACGTGTGAAGCGGGGCCTACTGTATTTATACTCCAAAATTCTAGCGCCGTCAAATCAAGCGGGAGAAAGCTGGAAGCCCCACATATGAGAAAATGGGTCTGTGTGGTCAGTGTGCACAGTATAAAAAAATCTTGCAGCACTCAGTGCACAATGAGAAAAAAAACTCGGTCCTTATTTTTGGATTAAAATGCCAAATTTGAGGCGCATTTTCATATAGTATTTTTGGTTGTATTCTCGTTTTCTTGGTCTCACTTGACAGAATGGAAAACTTTTTATAGAAACAGAGATGATTGTGATTGGTTTCATGATGAAAAGTATCTTGAAATTGAGCTCAAAATGGCGGAAATGTTCGATTTTTCCTGATGTTCAAGAGTAAACAAATGATGTCATTGTCCAATAAGTGTCCAATTAGCCATTCTAATACACAGTCATGAATGAGTTGACATTATTTATTCAATTATTACAATAATGCAGTAGTCTGCATAACAGTAAATCCTCTATTTTTTGTGTGAATAAAAATTCAAAATAGAAAGCAAGAGTAATATAAGAGGGGCCCTGAGATGTGATTAATGAACAGAGAAAATGCTATTTTAGTGCCAGGAATATCTGCATTATTCATTCTGGACCCTGTTTTGAAACTGGCATCTTTTGTAATTTGCGTGAAATTGGCCAAATTGCCAATTTCTGACCACTTTAATGGGTAGTTGAAATCAGTAAATGGGCAGTTTCGTGTACTCAATCGATAGAACAAATGGAGTTCTAAAGAAATTACTATGAATTTGGTCGACTGGAACAATGGAATTGGCTGAAAATAGGGCTCAAAGTGGGCGAAATCGCCAATGTGTAAACATCACCGAGATTGCTAACTTTGTGAGAGTGTAATTCCATGAGTTTTCCATCAAATTTCATAGTTTTGGTGTCATTAACATCGGGAAAAAATTCTCTATCAATTCATAAGATTTTTCTTTTCAAAAATTTTGCGACACAGAGAGACACTTTAGGATTTGGGGTCGCGACAGTCAAAGGGTTAATAAGATAGAATTAAAAATAATTTGGTGCTTGACCTGACTGATCACATGTGAGCAGATTTATACAATATGTAGTAAACAGATAGATATAGGGACACAACACATACGTAACTTCACACAAAGTAAAACTGCATAAAGAAATAGGATTCTATGCAGAAATATTGTACATATTTCCGACAAAAAATGATGTCACACTTACATTTCTACCACAAAAAAAATCATTACTGTATACTGTACTGTATTGGTACTCTCACTTCAAGTGTGCAAAGGATAAAACTCACATTTCTGCCAAGTTGAGCAAGTCTGAGTATGTCCTCTGGTTGATGTACTGGATGAGGGCACCAAGCGATATTGTGCCCATCTGGCCTCCCATGGACCCCACAGAGTCCATGGTGCCTGCACCGCTGCCACTCTCCAATGGGATTGGGGTTGGCGTGGGCGCCATTTTGACTCGTTTGATGCGACACGTTTGTTACCTGTTGGTTACAGAAAAGTAATACAAGCATGGTAAAACTGACCTTATCTTCTTGTACTTCACATAGTAATGTTCTCCAGTATGGACTTATTTACTCCCTCCAGTACATCAAAATACTATGGCACTGTTTTTGGCTTTAACCCTTAAATGGTCCAAACGATATATATACGTTTTTTCAACATCTGAAAGTATGTAAAAAAATGTAGATCTTCTTTTTTGTTTTACATTTGAAAACGTGTAAAAAAACTTTTATCTACATTTTTTTTTTGTTTATATTGAAAATATGTAAAAGAAAGTAGATCTACTTTTGTAGCACTACGAATTTGAACGTCGATCTCTTTGGACTGTTTAAGGGTTAAACTTCCTTACCTGTAGCAGAAGGTGCACATCATATCTGCTTATATTAAGAGTTGTAAGTGGACAAGATCTTTCTGGAAATAGAGAAACACACTTTTACAATGCATAATAATAATAATATTAAACCCACAAGGGTCATACAGGATAACATGAGATTAGATTGTTGCAAATATTACAAAATATAATGATGCAAAAAATGACAATAATAATAATAATAATAATAATAATAATAATAATAATAATAATAATAATAATAATAATAATAATAATAATAATAATAATAGCAACTGAAATGCATTTTAAAAAGTTTTGTGGTCAAAAGAGACAGACAACAAGATAAGCTTTTATTGAATCATTTTTACCCAGGTTTTATCATCGGTAAGTAAATGAATTTCTTATTTTTTTTGTATGTGAAATACATTTTTTTTATATCTCCTGCCTTGATAACAATCTTATCAGTCATGAGATTGTATTGAAAATTATAGTGCTCCCATTTATCTAACAAAAAAGGGTCCACACTATTTGCAGATGACACTACATACGTCTTCTCTCACCCGAGCCCAGTCACACTAGCCAATACTGTAAATACCGAATTACAGAAAATATCTACCTGGATGAGGACTAACAAACTTACACTAAACATTGACAAAACCTACTTCATTCAGTTTGGTAACAGAGCTACAGATGTCCCTCTTAACATAATGATAAACGGATCACCTATCACAAAGCTAACAGAGGGAAAATTCTTAGGAATCCACCTTGATAATAGACTCAAATTTCATACACATATACAACAAATTTCTAAGAAAATTTCCAAGACTGTAGGCATACTATCGAAGATACGGGACTATGTTCCACAGTCAGCCCTCCTGGCCCTATATCACTCCTTATTTACCCCTATCTCACCTATGGAATTTGTGCATGGGGCTCAACAACAATTAACCATCTCAGACCACTAATTACCCAACAAAAGGCTGCAGTCAGAATGATAACAAATTCTCACTACAGGCAGCACACTCCACCAATATTCAATACACTAAACCTACTCACCATACAAAACATCCATACTTATTACTGCACCTATTACATACATAGAACACTAACTCTGATATTAACCCTCCCCTCAAACATCTCCTTGCCAACCTCAACAGAACACATGACCATAACACAAGGCACAGATTCACTCTTTGATGTTCCTCGTGTCCATCTCACACTATGCAAAAACTCAATGCACATAAAAGGCCCTAAAATCTGGAATTCATTACCTGTAAAAATAAAAGAAACACTACCTGTTTATAAATTCAAGTCTCTTCTCAAAGATCACTTACTCACCCAAAACCAAATAAATACTGAATAACTGGACCTTATAAATTGTTTATCTTAAATGTTTCTCACAATTATATCACATAAATGTTAAACCTAAGACCCAATCTAACTTTGTTATTTTTTAAATACACTACCTAACAGAATACTCCATTCTACTGAATGTACAACAATGCATGCAACCATATGACCTGTCTTTGTAATACTCATTTGTGCTTTATTGTTATCTGTTTACAATAATGTTTTATCACTGATTACATCATTGCTTAGTTAATCTTAAGTTAATTTTAAGCCAGCCCATAATGCTATGCATATAAGTGGCTTTGGCATGCTGCTCTTACCTGTATTTTTTTGTACCTCTGTATGCTCAAATTACTAAATAAATAAATAAATAAATAAATATGTAGTCAACTCCAAATGCCCTACTCTACTTACCTCCCCCCCCCCACATTTTTTTATTATAATTATAGTTTTCTTATATACTACTGTCAATTAATAATATTAATTAGTTTTATTTGTTTTCAAATTATTGTTTGTCAGTTTATATTATTCAGCAATATTAGGTGCTAAAGCAGCTTATCCCTTAGTTACTTTTGATACTTAGTTACATTCTCAATTACTCTTATGAATGCCAAATATTGATCAAAGTTATTAAACCTCTTATTAAACACACAAATAATCCTAACAATAATAGCCATTTACTTCGCTGCAGTCAGGCTAAAGCTGTACTCAGTGCAACAAGAACGTAACTCTCGAAATTCACGATGGACACGCGTCAGTCTGAGTTTTATGACTATGATAGCGGGTTTCTAACCCCACCCGTCGGATGTTTTTTTTTAACAAGAAAACATAAAAGTACAGTGGAACTTTGAGCCAACTGTTAGCGATGTTTTTGGAGATACGAGCATTCCCTGGGGTCAGATTTTTTGTTCTGAGTTACGAGCAACAAATCTTGAGTTATGAGCCAGCTCCACATGCTTCCCATCAACGCAAAACCTGGACACCTCGCTTGTTTATCTATGATTTCATGCTTTAATTCCATGGAAATCATCTCTTTTTTTTCTCTTTCTTCTCGCACGTCTTTATACTTGCTTTCTTAGGACCCATGCTTAGAAAAATGAAATTTGGGCCAAATGACTGTCATAAAATGTAAGCAAAGGCATGAGAGAATGCTCCCACAGCGAGGGTAAACAGTGGCACTTATTGGCGGCGTTTCGTTATTATAATAATAATATTAATAATGATTATTTATTATTAGTTACTATTATTATTAGTTACTATTATTCATTATTCTTATTAATACAGTGAAATCCCACCACCTTACGACGCATCATGTTACGTTAAACTCCCGCCATCACGCCATTTGGAACGCAAAATTTTGCCTCGCCTCACGAAAACAAAACTCGCCTTAGTGTTCTAATCCGGGACGTTGTGCTACATGTGGCCTCAGCACCAGTGTTTACAAGCCAGCCAGTGCAGTGCATCTACGCATACATGGTACATTTCAATTTATCCCAGTGTTTTTAGTACTTGTAACTAGCAAAATAAGTCGCATGGGCCCCAAGAAAGCTTTTAGTGCCATAAAAATGGTGAGAATTAGTATGGAATTGAATATAAAACGAGATTAGGAAATGTGTGCAAAGTGGATTGAATGCCAAACCTTTAAGGATGAAAATTCACACTGCACAGCTAACTGCATGCCGTGTTGGCAACCTGTACAATGACAATGTTATGGGCCAATTTTAGGAAAGTCTAAAAGGAAACAGGAGGTAACAGAGCTCTATGGGGAAGATTTGTTGTGCGACAGGATCCAGTGACTCTCAGCTGGTCATAGTGGCATTAAGGAAGAAGGGAAGTAACCCCGGAAAAGGAATTGCTACCTCAAGTCCTAATGAAGGGGATTCCCTTCTAAACAATAACTTCCACACTCTCCCTCCTCCCATCTCATCAATCATCACCAGATCTTCAATAAAGGTGAGTGTCATGTATTCTATTCTTAGTAGAGTAGTATTTGTGCATGTCTCTTCAGTTTGTGTGTATTAAAATTAATAATTATGTGGTAAATTTTTTCTTCAATACTTTGTGGTGTCAGGAACGGATTAATTTGATTTCCATTATTTCTTATGGGAAAATTAATTCGGCTAATGATAATTTCAGTATACAATTAGCTCTTAGTAACGGTTTAATATCTGTAAGGCGGGGGTCTCACTTGTCATTACTAATTATTATTATTAATTTAGGTAACTAAGAGCACAGATCCAATTCCCTAGATAAGTGCCCCTCACCGTGTCAAGTTGCTTGATGCTGGTGAGGGGCTCTTGATCTGGGAAATTGTGATCTGTGTTCCGTTACTTTAATTAATTAATAATATAATAATAATAATAATAATAATAATAATAATAAAAATTATTTTTATTATTATTATTATTATTATTATTATTATTTTTATTATTATTATTATTATTATCATAAGGACAGAGCTTCAGTTCCCCTAAATTACTACTACTAATTAATAATAATACATAATACGTAAGTAATAATATCAATACAGGAATGGTGCCGCTAGTTGGCACAAGTGAATGGCAAAACACCAGGTGAGCAGTGAGCATATGTACATTGTGCGTGTGGGAGCAGTTCTCTCGTGCTTGCTTGTATTTTTTTAGTCATTTGGCCAAATTTCTTTTTTCTATCCATGGGTCTACGAATTTAAATGCAAAGGGACAGTGCTGAGAAGAAAACAAGATGATGATTTCATGGACTTAGCCAGAAATACCGGCTTAGTACATCTACGAATGTAGGTTACTGAAGCTATATGTCAGTTATGTTCTGTGATTAAACAAAACATGATGTTGTTTGAGGTTACAGAGCATGACATCATACACTGCACCCTCAACTCCCTCACCTCAACCTCCCTCACCCTCAACCCTCCTCACCTCAAACTTCACCCTCACCTCCCTCACCCTCAAACCCCTCTCACCCTCAACCTCCACCTCAAACCTCCCTCACCCTCAAACCTCCTCACCCTCAACCTCCTCACCTCTCAACCTCTCACCCTCCATATTTGTTTTTCACAAAATAAATCTTACGAATAATAAAAAAAGAAGTCCCAGGAAGCTACCCAAAGCATAAAATCTTTAAATTCTTAATTCCCTCTCTCTTTTTTTTTCTTTAAATTTCTTTTTTCAAAACCGGGGGTTAAGAATATTGAAAAGGCAGTTGGAAAAAAAAAAATTTTTTAGGGGTTCCAAAATCCCCTTTTTCAAAATATTTGATTTCTTTTTTAGGGGTTTTTTAAAAACAAAAAAATTTTTTTTAGTTTAAAAACCCCTAAACAAAACCGCCCCTAAACCCCCTCCCCTAATTTTTATAACCTCCCCAACCCCCAAAAATCCCCCCCCCTAAAAACTTTCCCCCACCCTCCCCCCTTTCCCCCCCCTATTTTAAATAAAATTAAAAATAAAAAAATAATTTTTAATAATTTTTATAATTTTAAAAATTTCCCCACCCCCCCCCCCCTCCCCTAATTTCCCCCCCAAAAAACCCCCATCGATAAAATCCCCCCCTTCCCCCATTTCCCCCCCCCAAACCCCCACCCCAAATACCCAACCCCCCCCCCTTCCCCCCCCTCCCCCCTATACCTTTAAAAATCCCCCCCCCCCAAATTAAAACCCCCCTTTTTAAAAACCCCTTTTAAATTTGCCTCCCCCCCCCCTTTCCCCCCAAACCTTCCCTAACCCCCCAAAAACCCCAA